ATTACAAAATAACAGATATTAAAAGTCTCTCAGAACGACCGATACAATTACCTCTAAAACAAATATTTTTTATTGAAATGATTATTTTTACCTGACAAATAAGAGATTGATTTTAAAGTACTTATTTATATTACAATAATTTGAAGGAGGGCTAATTCAGCTAATCAGTGACTTTTAGCAAAAATCACTGATTTCAATTGTTTGTGGTCACCAAACTATTGACAAATCTTCAATTGTCTGCTTTTAAAATTTCTTAAAATGTTTCTCTTGAATCACGCAGTTCAATCGATTCTTTTTCATTATTAGGACTACTCTTCAGTAATTTAATTTCACAATATTTTGTAAGGGGCTCATAAAATTTGGTGGGCATTGGGCCTGAATTTGTCTTGAGTGTAGTGTCCCTGGGGACACTACACTACAAAAAAAGTAGCAACTACGGTAGTTTCACTAGTTGTAGTGTGCTCCCTCCGACTACTGCGCATAATACGAATGCGAGTGAATGGTCCCCCTCTTTAATTTGATTAAACCGCCATCTATCGGAATAAAATGCTATTTTTCCATACATTAGAAGAGCGATCATTAAGAAAAACTGAAGCCCCCTTATGAAATGCGTAAAAAGAGTTTTCCCCCTAGAGTGGGACCAGAAAGGCTCGTTTTCATACCGGAGGGAGATGAAATAGGTTTGAATGTATTCATTCTCTCGTTGCAGACTACAGCAGAAGGTGAAGAAGTAAGCGGCGGCGATGGAGATGAGCAATCGGAAGCACCAGCAACAACAACAACAACACCAGAAGCACCAGCAGAAGAATGACGTTAATTTATTATTAAAAAGCGTGAACAAAAATCGGTTTTTGTTTTAGCATAAACATGTGTGCGTATGTGTGTGATCTCACTTGTAATTAGTTTAAAAATAAAAATTGATATTATCTGCTGTTTTTAATCAATTGTCCACTTCTTCACTTACATCCTTATGCAACTGAAACGAACCTGTCCGATCGCTATTCGAAGATGACCGGTTTGCACCTTTCTAAATCAGCCATCATTTCAGGGGTGATTGTGACATTGAGTGAAAAACCCTGAAAATTTTATGTGCAAAAATCCTACACTAAGATATCAATTAGTATACCATACATGTTTCGTATTAATCATAATTTTTTTTTAAAATTAAGATTTAGAATTAAATTATCGACCAATGATGAATATCGCGCCTTTACAGTAACTAATTGAAGAAAAATCTTAGTTCTTGCAAGTATCGCGATGTTTAAAATTGAGTGAATGTGAGCTGCGATATTGGATTTTAAAATCCCGTAAATATGAGTAGCAAGGAGTAACTTTTAAATTAGCAGGGGTCTGTCAAGACATTTTGTGAAGGGTCCGTTTTTCGTGAAATTGTGGAAAAATTACTTACATTCTTTGAACCAGGGTCCGCTTTTATGAATTTGTGCAAATAGGGTCCGGTTATTGCAAAAAAACTTTTTCAATGAGTTTTTAAATTGTAAATAGATACAAGATTATGCTCGGCAATGTAAAATTATAATTAAAAAAATTAAATTTTCAAAAATAAACAGCAATTGCTGCTTCTAAATTAGAAATGCAACACACAAATATTTGGTATTTTGCCTATACTGCTGAACGCAGAAAATTCATTTTGGACGAATAATGGAAGAATCGTCTGCCGAAGACAAAACTTAGTTCGTTTAAATCCATCTTTCTTGTTTTCAGCCATAGGAAGGGTTTAGTCGATTAACAAAACAATAATGAAGACAAACAAATTTGTGAAGGGTCCGATTAAAAGAAAAATCATTTTGTGAAGGGTCCATTTTTAAGTTAAAATATTTTGTGAAGGGTCCGTTTTTATGAAAAGATATTTTGTGAAGGGTCCGTTAACGGACCCAAATTTTTTCTAAACAGACCCCCGATTAGGTAAATATAAAAATCGATGTTTGATATTCAAACCACGTGAATAGGAATTGCGATATTAGCGGACTCCTGCGCAATTTAAATTATTCAAAATTAGCCAAACCAAAAGAATCAATTGGCAGTTTCTACCCATTGAATTTAGATTGAGTAATTCCGTGAAAATTTCGCCGGATTATATAAGTTCTTGATTATCGAAAGTTCGAGAACCAATGGTCTTGAGAAACGCGGAATTCCACGATATTCCAAAAAAAAAAAAAAAAATCACATGCCCTGCTCCTAATTTTTAGACCCGGAAGGATAATACGAAAAACCCGGAATACAATCACCCCTGACTCTTAACCGAGATCAAATTTCGCCCAATGGTGTTTTCTACACTAGGCAGCGCTGCAAGCTTAGGATCGCCTATACTTCCGGGTTACTGTTTTTGGTATGTTTTGAAGCCGTTCGGCTCACAACGTGTTCATTGTATTATGAGACTCTTTTGAGTAGTATTTCTTGTACACGTGCATTTGCTACCCGATTTATTATTTGTGTTTAAAAGGAGAATCGATATTTGATGACCTGTCATTTCAAAACGCAAGAATTTTCATTTGAAAAAAAAAAAAAGAATCGTTATAAAACACCTTATTAACTATAAACCAACTTCGACTGGTTTCCTAATTCAACTCTAAAAATAAATAAAATCACAATCGTAGCAGAAGCGTTGCCCGTCGAAGAAACTTATCTCTTTCGGCAGGTCACTTGTGATATATTCTTTCTCCTTCAATGAAAAAATATTTCTTGTGCCTGGTTTCGTAACTTAAAATATCGACTGCACTAATTAATTAGCGTATTTGAGGTCATCTCTTTCGAACCATTAAGAATAAGTACTAGAAAGTGAAGGTTAGATCAAAAGTTATTTAAGGTGGTCCCTTTTTTAACCGGTGCAACCTTGGTAACAATCTAGGCAAGAGCTTTACCTTTAATATAATGTTTTAAAGGAGACTTGCTAACACTGCAGTAACAAAAAAGAACAATATGTTGCCTAAAAACTTTTTTTAAAACTCCACCATTTTTTTTCTATGCAATAAAAAGATCGAAACAATAGTTTCACCAAAAAAGGTTTAAAAAATAGATAATTTTTTTAAAATTAAAACTGATATTTTAGGTCAACTAATGTAATTTATGAGAGGAAGATATAATGCACATAGCTGGAAAGAATAATCCCTACTAGAAACAAAGATATAAAAAGTATCCCTCCCCCCAAAAGAAAAAGATTTTGACCTGTTGCTTGCCACTCAAAAAATATTTGTTCTCCCCAAACTAAACCACAAGTTGTTAATGCCCATTTGTTAAGTAGAACAGGGTGTGTAGCCAAACCTTTCAACAAAAAATAAGAATCTTTTAAGTACTTTTTAAGCACTCAAAAAATATTTTTAAGTACTATATACATCAACAAAATACAAAATAATTTTCAAAGACTTTACATGATCATGAATAAATAACTAGTTTTTGACAAAGAACTCTTTTTCTTGATTATATTAGCCATTATAGATCGATTAAGATATTTTTTGGTTCAATATCAGAGGGTGAAAAATGAAGCCTGAAATTGAGAATATCTTGCAAAATGGAGCAGAGTTGCACATGAGAGTGCAATAATCTCACCAAACCCAGCTTAGTAAACACACATGCGGACTTGCAAGTATTTAATCAAACATGTAAAATGATTGGCCCTTTCATATGCTAATGACCGAAGGTACATCGAAATAGATTGTGGTTGAATGAATTGTGAAAATGTGGAATTAGAACAATGTGAAAAGCACGCTTTCACATAATACATGGCAAAAATGAACATTCCCTTTTCGAAAATCTTATTTTCAAAAAGGAAAAATTAAGCAGTTTTTAAAAACACCCAATGAAAAACGCATCTTTAAGGGCTTTTTAAAAACAAAAACCGAAAATAAGCACCTTTAAGCACTTTTTAAAACCACTACGCACCATGTAGAACATATAATAAATTTGGCTGTAAAATTATCTCATTTTAAATACCTAATTTACAGCTTTAAAATTACAGTATCTCACAGCTCTATATTGCACTCTTTTGTTGTGCAATAAAGCGCTTTACACTATATTCTGCATTGCAGTCTTAGTGACTCTTTATTATGTGAGGGTGACATTTCCTTCCATGTTTTCCTATGTAATTATGGCTTCTAACGATGTTCCCTACCTCCCTCAAAGTTCATGCTGGGACACCTGGTATAACATTTAAAGAGAAATGTATCAAGCAAATATTTTTCCACATTTTAGTACAGCTATCATTCACAGCTATATTTCTGAAAAAATTATCTTAAAATTTGGGACTTTTGATACATAAAATCATACATTTAATAGAATACATAGATGCCGACATAAATAGGAAAAAATCCAGTAGATTTTGCGAAATAATATAAATTTCATGATAATTGTTGCGTAACGCACTAAATATTTTACACATAGGGAATTTGAGGGATTTTAAAAAGTCATCAAAATAGAATAAATGCAATATTTTGCAATTATGATTGACCTGAAACATACTTGAAATGTTATGCATAATGTTTACTCCTAATTTCGAATATTAATAGGCATTTTATTCATCATAGATAGTTAAAAGATTTTTTTTTATTAATTAAAAAAAAAAAAAAAAGAGTTCTGAATAAAAATAATCTGAAAATTTTAGAACGAAATTTTTTTTTTGAACAGATTTCTATGAATGAGGTTCGCTTCATTATGTACTACTAATACTTTATTTAACTATTCAAGCAAGATAGCAATAATCTGTACAAAATTTTTATTTCAATAGGGACTTTTTTAGGAAACTTACTCAAAATTAAGGAATTTTCTAAAATCTGCAAAATCCAAAAGAATTTTTATTAGACCACGAAAAACTGGCTAAATCCAGTAGAGTTGGCTGCTATGAGAATACGATTTCTTTGATAAATATCAGTCAGTATTGTTAAATCCCTCCAAACCTTCAAATGTGTAAACACAAATGGACTTATGAGAAAACTGCTCAAATTTTAAACACTGTCAGAAAATGCAAAATAAAAGTTTTTTTGTAAATGTAACTTTTAAAATGTGCTGTTATTTTAATATTTAAATGGTGTACATAACTTTTCACACAATTTTTTATTTCACATTTAACTATTCAATCAGGCAATTATTTATTCCTTCACACCAACAATACATTTTGCTTTGTTTAAGATGACAAATCAGGATAAGGCAACTGCGGGCTCATAAGCTCTATTCCTCATGTCTGAAACTTTTGATTTTGTCATTTTCTTACCTCAAAAATCATGTAAGAGCAGAAAACTAAGATCATCACCAGAGTTGAATTCCACAGGATCTTTATTTCTATAAAATGCAAAGACTTAGTTTTTGATTTAAAAAAAATCATAACTAGTCACAGATTTAAGTAGCAAGACAGAAGAGCAAAAAATAGACATTTAAGTGTCTTTAATCATTCAACGCTGCTAACCTGTTTTTCTGAGAATCATTCCATATTTCAAATAATATTTAGGGACCTTTCAAACACAGCACGCATAGCCAAACTTTTCAACAAAAAAGAAGTACTTTTAATTAGGACGTAAGCACTAATATATTTTCATTTTTTATTGTTGATTGAAAGTTCTTTATATACATATTAACAAATGTAAAATAATTTTCAGACTTTACAAGATCATGATAAAATAACAAGTTTCTGACAAAGAAGTCTTTCCTTGATTATATTAGCCACCATAAAAACAATTTATACCTAATTTTAAATATAATCAATATTGCGTGGCTCATTCTATAAATTGTTTAATTATGCAAAAATTTTTAATTTAAAATTGTAATTCATTCAGCTATTATTTAAAAAGGTCATAGAGTGTATTTTTTAAGATTTAAATAAAAGTTATATATATTCAACATAACATTAACATGATTAATATTACTAATCATAACGAATTTACAACAGTGTTTTCACTACAGCGCGAAAATCTTGCCTATTTTTCTCTTTTCTCGCAATAAAAAACAATTAACGCAACAAGTTCGCACACTCTATTAATCAATTTCAAAATGCACGAATTTTGGAAAAAATTTTGTCTTTTGCTATTTTGAATAAAATCCGTTTCACTTTTCCTTTCATTATTTTGAACATCGGTCCTTGTTATCTAGCTTCCCTATTTATCAGTATTATTCAGAACCGGTGCGAACAGCAGAGCACTCCCCCCGAACCCCGGAATTCCTTTCAGAACACATTTCTCTGCAACCACGTGTTCACCGTAGGTAAGGTTTCTTCATGTAAGATGCTTAAATCTTTTATGCATGAATGTAAGATGGACAAATACCTTGTTAAGGCGACATCTTCTACTCCATAACTGATAAATGAAAATGAAACAAATGTCGGTAGAAACGGTCAAAACGAAACAAATACGGATATTTTTCAGCCAAATAAATATAATAGCCGATGAAAAAGTAGATATAGAATATTTTCAATATGATGATGCAGCAAAAATATTCAATTAGAAGATGTGAAAAATCTATTATAATTACAGAAATAATTTTTTTCCAAGTCTATTCGCGTTTTTTTAATTTTTAGAAATCTCACTTAACTTTTTGAGATCTCACCCTGTTTTTGAGAAAGGGTGAGAAATTCTCTCTCATTTTTTTTCGGTAATGAAAACACTGGAGATAAAAAATTTTTTTCAAAGATTAACCAATTTGAAGTAAATTATAGTTAGCATCTACTTATTAATATTTATGAATATATTAATGCCTCCCCTTATTCTTTACACTCACCAACTGCTGTGATTCTTTCACAATTATTTTTGTTTATATAACAGATTGTAAATTAGAAACTATTCTATTAAGAAAGCCCAAAATAGTTTTTGAAGAGATTCCATTAGTATAAAATTTCAATATGGCTATGTTANTTTTTTTCACCTTTTTCTTTCCTCAAATTTAACTTTTGCTTCTAATTTCAGATTTTTTTAGACACAATTTTTGGTTGCATATAAAAAAAATTCTGTACATATTAGGATTTTAATGTCCTACTAAGCATTACTCATACTTCTTGTACTACATACAGGGTATCTGCTACATTTCAGATTTTCAAATTCATGACTCATTCCAAGAATTTTTCATGACTTAACAAAGTTACTATTTTCTCCCGACAAAATCACAACAATAAATTTAAAAAAGCATTATAATAACATTAATTGAAATGATAGGTATAACCAAAACTGTTATACTCTGCATCTTCCTATTTATAGATTTCGAATTTAAAAAACAGAGTAAAGGAAGAGTTGAAGCAATAAAATAGCTGAAAAAAATACAAAAGGAAATATTTCTTTTTCTTTTTTTCTGCAGAATTATATTCTTTAAGATACTTTTTTTGCTCATCGGAACGGAAAGAAATACTCCTGATTTTTCTGTTCTCATTTCGGAATAAAAAAAATTTGCCAATGCCTGGTTTGGCTAGAATTTTAAATTGATAAAAAAAAAAATAATAATAACAAAAATTCTGAAATCACTAAAGTTTAAAAGATAATTTGTTCTAGAAATGATGTTCTTTCTTTCATTTTTTGAGAGAATACCATAATTTTTAAAGAACATTATAAAATTATTTTATATTTTAATAAAATATGACTGTGAATGGAGATTTTGTTACAAATTCAGATATTCGGAACAACATGAAATTGCTGGGAGGGGGTGAATTCCATTTTAAAGATTAGACTTTTGGACGACCTAAATCCATGACTTTTTAAAAAAAAATAGTTTAAATCATGACATTTCATGACAAATTTTGTTCGATACCGAAATTCGATACTTTCCAGGTGCGCAGATACCCTGCGTATAAAAAAATGCTGTACATATTAGGATTTTAATGTCCTACTAAGCATCACTCAAACCTCTTGTACTACAAATTAAGACTTGCCAGCAAAAATAACTAAATCTAAATCCCTCCCCTGTTAAATGTGTATGCAATAATTGAAATGCCATACATTTTTCTGGAACTCAATTTTTCCAGATGTTTGGAGAACTAGTTTTATTTAATATTTTTGTCTCAGCTAACTCACTGTTGCAACGAGTACTACTTTATTGCAATACAGCAGAAATATATCAATTACATTTCCCTTTATTACTGTATGCATGCAAAGGATGGTTCAGATTGTTCCTTGACAAGAGTAGAAATTAAGAAAACTTAGTTACAAGTAGTTCAATACATATTTCTAGTTTGCTGTACGCATTTGCAGTGATTTGTTTACATGTCTCTATTATATTTTTCTAAGAGAAAAGTTAAATACAAAACTGCAGTGCACAGAATGTTCAAAATTATAATGAAATAGACTGAGTAATTGGGACACAAAATAGCATACCATTTATTTATTTTGGTTGCAGGTGTTGTGAACCACTGATAATTCATTTTATGGGTGGTCTGATTCATATTTTTGAGACCAAAGGGCCACTTCTAATTTCAATCTCGTTCCTAAACGAGTTTCATTTTCAAGTTATTTTTGATATCTTAAGAGTAAAATTTCCTTTAGAAATTTTTACAGAAAAGGGAGCAATGTAAGGGGCTATATTATATGTAACAGTTTGTCGAAAGTAAGTACTCCCCTACTCATTTGTCTGCACCCGTGGCGGTGACTATGGTAATGAGGTATAACTATATAAGGGTGTGGGGTAACTCACTGTTTAGGCTCGGGTCGAAGAGAGAAAGGTAATCTTGTTCGCCAGTCTATTGTGTTAGCCATAGAGTGAAGAGAAGCTACCCTCTCTGAAATGCGCTATTCTTGTTTTCATAGCAGATGGCCTTAGACTTTGTAGCAGGGGGAGTTCTTACTGTAGACAAACTAACAATGCATAGATAGAAAAAAAAACTTACTTCTGAAAAAGCTTTGCAGCTTGATGACCCATTAAAGTAGCCTTATCATTTTCAACCAACAAAGCACTCCCTTCTTTGAGACCCTATAATAAGCAACAATTTTAATTATCTAAGAGACATCTTTAAAAGAGTCTATCCTCTCTTAATGTTTTAGGTATGGATTTCAAAACACATTTGTTAATTAGTGCTATTTTATAATACAAACATTATGCAGTCTATCAAACATACAAAATTAATATGTTTAAGCACTATTTAACATCATGCTCCAAAAAATATCCAGCTAACACAAGCATTGATAGAAAAATGGTACAACAAGACCAACATAAGACAAAGAAAAAAATTAAAAGGAGATAATTTTTTTTTTTGGAATATCAGAGAGTAAGTTAATTTTTTTAAATTGAGATTAGCTTTCTTGTATTCAAGCTTTATATATATATATATATATATATATACATATATATATATACAGGGGTCTGTTTAGAAGAAATTTGGGTCCGTTAATGGACCCTTCACAAAATATCTTTTCATAAAAACGGACCCTTCACAAAATATTTTAACTTAAAAACGGACCCTTCACAAAATGATTTTTCTTTTAATCGGACCCTTCACAAATTTGTTTATCTTCATTATTATTTTGTTAATCGAATAAACCCTTTTCAGAGCAGAAAACAAGAAATATGGATGTAAACGAATTAAGTTTTGTCTTTGGCAGACGATTCTTCCATTATTCGTCCGAAATTAATATTCTGCGTTCAGCAGTATAGGCTAAATACCAAATATTTGTATGTTGCATCTCAAATTTAGAAACAGCAATTGTTTATTTTTTAAAATTTAATTTTTTTAATTATAATTTTACAGTGTTGAGCATAATCATGTATGTCTTTACAATTTAAAAACTCCTTGAAAAAGTTTTGTTTTTGCACAAATTCATAAAAGCGGACCCTGGTTGAAAGAATGTGAGTAATATTTTCACAATTTCACGAAAAACGGACCTTTCACAAAATATCTGGACAGACCCCTGATATATATATATAGCTGCTGTTGAACAGCCAACCCAATTTCTTGGGCTTAGGACCACTTATATTCAACTCCGTAGCCTTGTAATTTTGAACCAATCCAGAAGAGAAGGAAACTCCTGGATCAGTACCCCCAGAGGTATTAATTTGTTATGGGAACATGGAGGAATTTACGACTCGACAGATTTAACATGCATCAGTCAACATTTGGCCGACGGGGATCGAACCCTGAACACTTGAACATGGGCCTAGTGCCCTACCGACCAGGCTATCCCGGCCTACTCTGTTGTTTATGTAAGAATCTCTGATAACTTTTTCTAAAGCAATATTAAATAAGATGAAAGCCAATGTGTCTCCTTGAATAAATTTTGATTTTTACCCTTGAATATATAAAACCTTCATAACTTCCAAGTTTCATCCAATTAGCTTTGGTTTCATTTGGTTCAGTTTGAAAACATACAAAGGAAACAATGTGACTTGTTTAAATAGCTATATCAAAGTGCAAATAGATATAATTGGGAAATTGTACTTTCTGTACGTACTAAACAAATAACAAAATCACTTTCTAGCAATAAAATTATTTGCATAATGCAACAAAACGTTGGGTATCACTTATGCATGTTTATATAGAGGGTTCATTTTAGTTCAAATGGACCAAAATAGAATAGAATCTCATAATGCCAGATTTTTATGAAAAAGTATGACATGGGAACAAGATTAATCTATTATAGGTACTGTAGAAGAAATTTTTTGGGCTTTCTGCGACAAACTCCTCTAGCACTAATACCCTTTTGCAAGATACTTTTAATAACAACTAATATACATGTTATAAAATTAAATTTAAAGTAACAGAAACGTCGTATTTACAAAGAAAAGCTTATTTGGATATAATAAAATTATATGTATTTTTTTTCAAAAATGAAAGGCAATCATGGGCAATATTCTCACATTTTTGTAAGAGGAAAACACATTATTTATTTCCTTTTCTGCACTTCATAAAACATCATCACACAAAAAAATAATAATAAAAAATCGTAAAATCAACAAAAGAAAAGAAAACCAAATATTTTTTAATTTTTCTAAAAAGGAATTTAAAAAAATCTAGAGCATTTCTTCCCCTCTCATGCGTGAAAAAGGTATCTCTTGAGTATAACTGTGGAGGGAAAAAAATCTTTCAAACATTTCTGCAGAAAAGAAATTTTTTGCATCAATATTCTTTATTTTTCATTCTTCTAAAATAAGAACATTTCTTTTTCCTCCAACGCGCGAAAAAGGCATCTTTTAAATATAATTTTAGAGAAAAAAATTTTTGCAGAAAAGAAAACCAAAGTTTTTTACTTTCTGCCAGAACTCTGTAATGTTCTGTGACAATGCTGCCGTGCTGCTGCGATTCTACCATGGGGATTATAGGAATGAAGAATATAGGTAGTGGTGAGGTGGCCTAGCCATCTCAACTTAAGATAATACCTTAAAAAAATGAAGAAAAAAAAATTACCAAAACAGGTGCAGATCCAGGTTCATTAAGGTATTCTTTTATTCTATCTTCTCTAGTCTCCTAAGAAACGGAAAAGCAGGATTAAAGTGAAATTAATATGCTTTATTTACACAGAAAAAATGGCTTACAAAGAAAAATCTGTTTGGAAATAACATAAATAAAGGGAACTCACCCCCATATGTTTGCTGTTAGGATCAGCCTCTATGTAATGAGGGTTAATATTAAATGGTACTAATTTCAATGCTTCTAAAGTTGGTGGAAAACAGATGGGCATGTCATTGGTTGTACTAATACTTCTTGTTGCAACATTTGTACCAGCACTAGAGCCGATGTAGGGAATACCTTTCTAAAATTGACGAACACATTATTCTATTTTTTATAATATAGCTGATTCAGACATAAATGAAGTGACAATAATAATAATAAAATATTTAATTTAATAATCAGAGACATACTCGCAATAATAATTACAGAGCTTTCCCTAAGAATAAAAAGCGCAGGGTGCTTCCTCTCTGAAAAAAGCATTTAACACCATAAAAATTGATCTAAATGAGTAATATTATGCAATAACTAAATTTTATCCTCAACAATTTTTAAATTACCCTCGTATACTATTTTATGTATGTATTTCAAAAAGTAATTCTCTTAGTTATTCATCAGTTTGTCCCAGAATCTTCTGTAATTCATCAGTTTGCTCCAGACTTTATTTCCAGGTGTGCATGCATCAAGAAGATTGTCCTTTTCTTTTTTGCTAATACAAGAGATAAAGTCACTAATGCAAAGTCACCAGACACAAGTATATTTAACAGAATTTCTAAAAAAAAATTTTTTTTTTAGTTTTTTAGGTGGAAATGTCGGCAAAACTTAGTAGTGCCGACGTAATGGAAAAGTACAAAGATTTCCTTAAAAACACAACCACCACGAAAAGTTAATCTTGTCCGCAACACTGGCATCCACTGGAATGTAACCCTAAGTATTACAGTAATTTCTGGTAAATATGCCACAATCTATCTATATTTGAAAGTTAAATGACCATAATATGAAGCCATCCAGTGAATTTATTTTTTCGTGGGCTTTGGGAGAGAGTTTCTCAATCAATCAAAAATAAATGTTTACAAAAAATGTTCTAAACAGTGGACCAATATGAATTTGCTGGGAAAATGATATATTTTCTCATTTTAAACTAATATTTTTTATTAAAATATTAGTAAGACAAGTTTTTGTTTGACGACAGACTGTATGATATCAACTACGAATGTAAAAACAAAATCCAATTTACAACTTGAGAATTAAATGTCTGTTTGTTTTGGGGATTTGGAAAAAAATGTGTTATGGGTAGAAAAAATGGTACAAAGCAAAAAAGAAAAAAAATCACATGACAAAAAAAAAAGACATGTAGCTTGAATGGAAATTCAAACTCACATCTGCAAGAGTATTGGTAGTGGATGAAGAATATTCATCGAGAAGAGATAAGAAAAAAGATTCTTATTGATGAGGTCCTTCAAGCCATATGATCAGCGTGGGTGAATGGGTGGACGAGCAACAATAATTGAGAAAGAGAAAAAAAAATTCTTGCCAGTCTTATTGATGAGTCAACCCGGCGCCTCAGACTCAGTGGCAGAGAGTTCTTACTGTAGACAAACTATATTTACTCATGATGTTTTTCACATACCAATGGGTCATGTTGATAAATTTCTCGCACTGTTTTTCTTCTCCGGTTTTTTCTTCAAGACAAAATGGGACAACATAAGTACAAAACTTCATCTCATCCAGATGGAGCAGATAAACCAGTTAGTTGGCTGCAGATGTTTTGTATAGCAACAGCAGGGGTATTAACTTGCTCCACTTTATGGGCTATATTTTTGTGGATGGTAGCAAAATTTATGTTTTAATAAAAAAATTCTTAGGATCAATAAACTTGATTTTTAATTATTTTGCATACTATTACGTGTAAACAATTCAAAAGCTCATATAAAACACCACAGAGTGAGCATAAGTTTCACAATTACATAAGGGAGAGTCTTTCTAGGCATCAGCTGAATTACCTAAAATTCTATGAATCTTAGTTTTTAAATCTCTCAACCACTTTATAAAATCATTTAAAAAAAAAAGAGGAGCAGTTCCCATCCCTGCAATTGAACAATCATTCATTAAAAAGACACTCTTAAAATATTATAAAAAACAATTTTTAAAATTAAGAAGACTGACTATACTTTGAAAACAGCTGTCCTAATGGGTTCGATCAAATCCTTTTCATACAAAGTTTTCAACAACAAAAAAGTATTCCCACCACCTATAAATTGTAAAATTGTTTAATCAGGCTTCAAGTAGTTCAAGAGACTTCCGTTTTACATATAAACAATTTCAAGGCAAATCTGTTATTTGCTAAGAAGATAATAATTCTACAAAATATTGTTCCAATAACACATGTTATTTAAATATTTAATCATTGTTGTTTCATTATAATCATCAATTGTTTCATTAATAAAATATTTTCAATTTCTTTGCAAATTTTTTTTAAAAAACATTCTCATTTAATTTTTAAAAAATAATTATGGCATGATAGAGTTTATAAGCATTTTTTCTCTCTAATTTTTATAAGTTTGAATGAATACAATGTGTAAGTTACAGATTTGCAAGTTTGTTGGTAAGTATGTTCAAATTTTAGTAAAAAAGTGTGGTAATTGGTTATTTATTTTACCAATTTCACTTGACTTTATTTTAGCGAGTGTTTAAATTTCAGGAAGGGCAAAACGCGTTGTTTGCCCCCTCACTTAAATTTGTGTGTGTGTGTGTGGGGGGGGACTGCACACTCTACTTTCTCGGTTGGCACGCTACACGGTCTAACTAGATAGTAGATGAAACAACCACGTTAGATAGAAGTGCAATATACAGAATGTGTTAACAATCAACTACATGCAGTTGTAGCCTTTCCCCCCACTGCGAAGCATTTTTGTTCTTTTGAGGGAGGGATATAATTCTCGGAAAAAGTCTTTTCATAGTTTTTTTTACCCTTTCCTTTATGTAAAAGTAGATATGCAATTATAAAAAGAAAATTTTTCTTTCTATCTTCACATATTTTCTTTCCTATTAAAAAAATATGATGTGGTTCCCAATGCAAGTGTTCCCAATATGATGTGGTTCCAAAACAATGCAAGTTCTGGAAGTTGTTTTCAGATTGCATTGTGATCCGGGGGGAACTGCCCACAAAGCAGAAAAAAAAAAAGATATTGGAGTAGATTAGTATTTTTTCATATAAATACACACCTTAATATCTTAGCTGTAGTATCTCTCCTCTTACTGATTACAATTATTTGTGGATGTTGCGAAATAAAAATTGAATTTACATTTGCAAGGATCTAAAATCTTTGCAAACACTTAATATTTTTTAAAAATGTGAGTTTTTAAATATTAATAACATTATAAACCAGTTAGTTGGCTGNAATATTAAATATTATATATAAAATTAAAAATTATTTATATGTAATGGTGGACAAAATCTTTTTAAATTAACTTTGATAAACCAAGAAATAATAGAGCATACAATTTGTTATTATATTAAACAACAAAAAGAAATTTTTTTGTTATAAATGACTTTTAATTCGATCTGTTTAGTAGTAGGTATGTTGCTCCTAAACTAAACTCAGTTGCGCGACAGCCCATAGAGGGCCAAGGCCTACTGTGCCCATCTCAGTTTTCTTGACCTTGGGCTCTGGGGTGCAGGAGCAGATGTTCCAGTCAGGTGGTCAGCCGAACGCGGAACCCCCAGTGTTTAGTTCCCAAGCATGCTTGGTACTCATTTATCGACCCACTGAAGGGATGAAAGGCTGAGTCAACCTTGCCCGGCCCGAGGATCGAACCAGGGACCTGTGGCATGACAGCGCGAAGCGCTACCGCTCAGCCACCGGGCGTCATGCTGCTCCTAAATTGTAACTACATAATTTAGGATTGGGTAGAGAGAAAAAATAAATTCTTTTATAAAGAATAAAAAATTTAATTTAAAGATATTTATTTAAAAGCATTTCAAATTGCAAAATAATTAAATAATGCAGCTGAAATCACATGAATAGGAATCAAGATGTTTTGTTTTAAAATTGCATGAATATGAATCTGGACATTGAATACTAAAGATGCGCGACTACAAACAACGATGTTGAATTTTCAAGACGCGCGGAATACACATAAAACTATTTGATTTTTAAATCACGTGAATTAAAATCATGTGTAATTTTTAAATCATGCAAACATGAATTGCAACTTTGCATCTCATAAATTGATGTTTGATGCTGATGAAAATTGTGTGAAAATGAATAGCGATATAGAATTTCAAAAATGCACGAATATGTATCTCGGTGTGTGATAATTTAACAGCATGAATGTGATATCTGACTTTTAGATCACTTAAATCCTGATGTGTAATTTGCGATATTCGATTTTTTAAAATATCATGTTGATACTCTCGTTAAGTGTTTAAGTTAAGTCCCATTAAGTCTCTTCAGTATTTTACAGAGCTTCTGTGATATTCGTACACAGATGCTTAAAAATTACACAGAAAATATATAAAACCAATTAACTTAAATAAAAACTTAATGCAAGTAAGCAGCAACATGTTTCTTAGCTTGAATCTCCATGTGAAAAAAGCTTCCTTATTTATCCTCTAGTGGGTTCTCAGTACACCATTTCTTCAGTTAGAGGTATGATCCTGACAACTTTCCTCTCTTTGTAATTAAAGAGCCTTCAACATATTTTTGTTCAAAAAAATTAACTAATCATTTTCTAACTAAAGAAATTTAAATTTGTTGCTTCATTTTGTAAAAACAAAATTTTACTAACCAACAAAGATCCCATCACATTCACTGATTGCTAAACCTGGGTCTGGTTTGTTATGAATGCTTTCAACTTGAAACCCTAATAAAATAGAAATGGAATTTTAAAAAAAAATTGATTTCTTAGTTTATAACAACTATAATTATAGTACAAATTAAACAAATACTATTTTAACTTATTCATTTTCTATTAAATATGAATATACAGTCGGACCTCGATATAAGGTCACCCTAAGGGGCATTGAAAAAGTGACCTTATAAGCGGGGTGACCTTTTAACCGATTCATTAGCAGTTCGTAGCTAAGCACGTAAATAGTACACATTATAACTTTTTAAAAATGGTAATACAAATGAAAGCGATCGGCCATAATTTAAATATTTAAGTCAATAAATATTAACAGAATTAGTCAAGAATTAAAGAAAGTTAGACTTTTAGAAAATTTTTTAATTTAAAATAAAGCTGTTTACAAATTTCCTCAAAGTGTACATACATACATTACATCTTACCTTATTTAAAATAATCATTTATGCAGGCCTGTCTCGTTCTTGGTTTCATTTTTTGAACAATGTTTTCTAGATTTTGTAACTTTCCGAATTGTTCCTCACCTCCCTCATGGTTTATAAAAAAATTTGATATGACGTTTATTGCATTGAAGGCTTCCACTTGGGTTACAGCTACAGTCTCAGGATCACTGTCATTGTAATCACTGTCCACAACTTGTGAAACAATTTCAGAAATTGTAGCTTGTTCATTGGTTGCAACATTTTCCTAGAACTCGAGATGGGTAATTGCCTTGTAAGGAAGTTAAATAGGATTTTGTTCGAAGCCTCAGATAAAAATGACCTTATAAGCGATAATTTTTAAAACTTGACCATATATCCGATAATCTGTAACAAAGAATTTCTATATTCAGTGAGTCGGGACTTTGGAAAAGTGACCTTATATGCGGATGACCTTATATCGAGGTCTGACTGTATATACATCGTCTCATATTTATAAGGATATCTTAGTGATTTTCCCCAGGTTTGACCTGCTTTAAATTACTTGATTCTTTCAGGGCCCTCCTAAGCATTTGCCGCCTTGCCAAATGCGATAAAATCGTAAATTTGGGGAATAAAATTCCATTTTGGCAAAAGTATTAGTGAATGATTTTTTTCCCACTAGAAAGAAATTAAAATTCCGTCAAAATGAATTTTCCTAAACAAAACAATATTTTTAAGCCACATAACCAATTAGAATTGGGTAATGTAAGCCTGAAACAAACTACCGTAAAATAGTTTTCAATGGGAAAAATTAATCATAAAAAAATTGTTAAGATTTGCATTTGGCAAAGAGTTTTGAAAACTGACAAATACTTTTGATATTTGGTTAATTTACTGGCTAATAATTTTTGAAATTCTTAGTAATAAATGTCTAAATCTTTGTCTAATGTCTAAATGTCTTTAAAGTCTGATCTTAGTAATAAATGTCTTATCCAGATAAATTCTCAAAATTTAATTCAATGTTTAAAATAGACTAACAAATAAAATGAAAAGGAGACCAAATGCGGAAAGACAAACCGAACAGAAAGTTTAAAATCATAATTTTCCATTAGTCGCATTTAAATATTTGATTTATATCCATTCAGATTTAAGTTTATTTAAATTAAATACTTTTATAACTTACTTATGTAGCTGGAATGAATATATATATATACTAAATGCCTTATTTTGTCTATTTTTTAATTAATATGTTCTATTTTTGCTTTAATTTCCTTGGTATACTGGTCGCCAAATATATAAAACTAATAAGCAATTGGTCGCTTGGTATAAAGTCGCCAAATAAAGTAACAAATATGATATAAAACTAATAAGCAAACAAACAGAACTAACTAGATTTTTGTTTTAATTATGTGTATTGATACATGCACATTAGGTAATAATTTATACTTTTGTTTTAGTTTTAATGATGCTTAATAAAGAGGCATTTTAATGAAGAATCAGAACAATATCTACAGAATTTGGTATATAACTTGTTGAATTATGATCATGGCTTTCAATTTACATTTTTTTAAACCTATCTGTACTTTTATTTTATATACCTATATACTACCTGTATTTTTAGACTTTGTAATTATGCTTTTATATTTCCCAATATTTTTTTTAGTATTTGTACATTTTAAGAATTCAGAATAAAATAAAGGGCTTAAAACTGTTGTACCCCCCATTTTAATATTTAAAATTATGCATGTATAGGGGAATTCAATGAATTAAATTTATAGAATTCGGGATACGCAAATTGTATATTTTTAGAACTTAAAAAAAGAACCAGACAAAGTTAGACTAAAATGTATAAACACCCAATGAGTAACCAAACGGATTAAAAATGAAATGACAAAGAAGTTTTAGGGATTGCAGAGTAAAGTTTTTCAAAATTCAAAAATTTTTAAGAAAAGTACTGATACATCAAAAGTTCAAATTAGTAAATAAAAAGCATACTCTTTATTATATTCTTACCCAGTTTCATAAAAGGGCCTTCTACTTTATTTAAGTAGTCGTCATGATCTCTCACAGCATACGGAATAAACAAAAGCTTCTTTACATTGTTCCTAAAAATAAATAATAAAAATTGAATAACAGAAAAAAGTAAAATGCTTTTATCATATGTTGGAGACAGGGTTGGGTTTTTAACATTTGTCAAAAATCTGTCAAAAAGTGCCGAAATCTTTTGAAAAGTGCGAAAATCTGTAGAAAAGTGTCAAAACCTATCGAAAAATGTCAAAAACTTTAAAAATCTGACAAAAACTGTCAAAAACCTAGGACAAGTTTCCTTTTCATCACTGGGGACACTTGATTAGATATTAAATTATGCACAAAACTTACATTATAATACTTGATTGCAAGCTATATACATGATCAGGATAAAGTAAGTAATTTCTGACAAAGAACCCTTTTCTTGATTTATATTAGCCATCAAAAAACAATTTATGCAGAATTTTAAATAAATTCAATATTGAGTCGTACATTTTATTTTTTAACTTAATAATTACTTTCTTTGATCATGCAGAAAAAAAATAGTTTTAATTCAAAATTATAATTGGTTAAAGTACAATTCAATAAAGCTCTCAGGTATATTTTTTAGATTAAATAAAGGTTATTTATAAAAGTAAATTCAACAAAATATTAAAAGGTCATACCAGTTTATATTACAGGTAATGGATGGTGTTTTCTACACTAGGGTGCGCTGCAAGCTCTTGATTGCCTATACTTCTGGGTTACTGTTTACGGTGTATTTTGAAGCAATTTGGCTTACAACATATTTGTGTTTTGAGATTATCGTGAGTAGTATTTCTTGTACGCACGTATTTTTACCCAATTAATTATTTGTGTTTAAGAAAAAGAATCATTATAATAATCTTCATTTCAAGATGAAAGAAAAGTCAATTGAAAAAAGAATCGTTTAAAACTCTCATCTTATTAACAATATACCAATAAAAAAAATTTGTTTTCATAGTCATATTTAGTATGACATGACAATTAAAAGAGATTCTATTAGATTTTAAACTAAAATTTTCTTGAAAATATGGTAATTGGAAAACTGAGGTGCTTGGCTTTAAAACCCTCTTTCAAAAATTGAGATTGATTTCTGTTTATTTTTTTGTAATTTGCATCTTTAAAAGCGTTTCTAATAGTCACTATCTCTTTGAACGTTTTTTGGATAATTATTCATCAACAATTTTTTTTAGCATTAAAATTTTGTTTTAAAATTAAGATAATATACTTTTCCTATTTTTTTTTCCAACTTAACAACTATAGTTTTTATTGATAGCTGGTAGTCAGTTTATTATTTATTTTAAATATTTTTAATCATCTTAAATATTTTATTGAAGTGTTTCTTTCCTTTATCTATACCAATAATACAGCCAAGTTTTGATTATTTTTCCATAATGACTAAACTTTATATATATATGTATATATATATAATTTATTAATTAATGCTTTTATTTACTTATTTTTTTCAAAAAAAAGTTGTATTTTGGCTGATATTTTTGGTCCAATTTTGAGTATTCAATCAAATAACTATTCGCATCCCTAGATTTTCTTATGCGAAAACCTCAATGATAATTTCAAATTTGAGGATTCATATATCATGTCAATTTTAGATAAGATTTCAGACAATTTTTTTAAATAGTACATAACAGACTGATACCTCTATAATTAGAAAAAACAATTGTATCACCTTCTTATCTAAGACCAATCAGAAGGTTGTATTTCAGTATTCTAGATATCAGTAATTAGATTATAGGTTAACTTTAAAATTACTGGTCCCTGACATTTTAACAGATCAGCCATGATACAGTATTTTGGATGTTTTAAAATTTCTTTACAGCATTTTTTATACTTGCAACTAATCTATTTGCACTTACTTTGATAAGAATGAAGGAAAGAAATCAGAACACCATTCAAAAAAGTCTTGACCATGTAGCTTTGAGTTAGATAGTAGCAAAACTTGTCTAGTTGCCATCTGAAAATTAAAAATTCATTACGAATGTTATGTTATTTATAAAAGTGTATCTTTATATTTTTTTTCAGAATATAAGTGAAAATTTATGAAATGATTGAATATTTTTTATTTTAACAGCATTTCATACTTCGAATGCTGTACACTATAAATATATCAACATAATTATCACCTGGAACATTTAAAAGTTACACATATTACCATTACATATTATTTTAAAATGTTTTTCATTGTGCTTTAATATTTTATATTGGATTTATATAATAAATTTTAAAGTAAACATATACTAGAAATTTTGTCAGATCCATATATTTTTATGCAATCTATTAAACAATACATAATATTAAATTGTTATAAGTTATAACTTTTAATAAGTACACAATAGAAATTATTTACTTTAAGCCTTATTCTTTTGATTTGTAAAAAATAAGTGATTATTTTTAAAAACAAAATATTGCAAGAAGTTTACTAGGAGGTATTTGAAAGAAACAAAATAAATATAATTCGAAAAAGAATAATCACTGTTTCTAAGGAAATGTTCGTCTTACAAACTATATATCAGATATTAAGAGCAAGAAATATTAAATTCACAATACTGCTATAAGCAGTTTTGATATGTATGGTGTTTTCTACACTAGGTCTTTAAGTTCTTTACTGCCCATAAGATCTTTACTGCTAAGCACTGCAAGATCTTTAATGTCCACACTTTTGCGTTACTGTTACCGGTGCATTTAGAAGACATTTGGCTAACAAAATGATCATTTTGTTTTGAGACTCCCTTGAGTAGTATTTTTTGTATACGTGTATTTGCTACGTGATTTTTTATTTGTATCTAAAAAAAAAATCGTCATTTAAATACCTACTATCATTTCAAGATGTCAGAATCGTCATTTGAAAAAGAATAACACTAAAAAACAGTTGCTATAACTTATAAACTTCTTACCTGGTCAACTTACTTTACCTTCTTGAAATATAAACCTAGATGATAATTTGTAAAATGAACTTAATCTCGCTGTTCGAACAATATCTAAAACAAATCTTCACTTCAAACTCACCAGAATTATTTATTATCTCCTAATATCTTGTGATATAGAGCAGATTTGAGCTCAAAAATGTACAGAAATATTATCAGAAAATTATCTGTTTGAAAATATCGCTGTGTAGATAGTAGATTGTAAAAGAATATCACGGGTACTTTGCATTAGCTTATAGCTCTTTATCTTCATTAATGAAGCGTTCCGCAGTGGACTGGAAATCAAGCATCAGTGGCTGCCGTCAGTGTGCGGGTGGGTGACCACTTGGATCAGTCTGCGTAGGGATCGAGAATGTGCTGTATTGGTTTTCGCTAAACTGTTCTATCGTAAAGTGCTCGACTTCGCGTGCAGGTCGTCGGGCTACCGAAGCTGGGATGCCATCCCTTCTGCAGAGAATCAAAATTGTGATGGCATGTCTTCGGATCATCCTCAGGGATGTTTCCCATAATTTATGAAGCTTTGCATTGAGGCTTGATAGATAGCTTAAAGTTGAAGGTCAGACGCGATTTGTGGCTTGGAAGAATTTGTAGAGGGATTAAAGTTTGATCCGAGGATTGTTGTTGTTGTTCATTTAGTCGCTCTAGAGCTCCACAATGGGCTATTGGTGACGGTCTGAGAAATATCCTTGAGGATGATCCGAAGACATGCCTTCGCAATTTTGATCCTCTGCAGAGGGGATGGCACCCCCACTTCGGTAGCCCGACGTCTTACACGCGAAGTCGAGCTCGAGCACTTTACGGTAGAACAGTTAAAAGAGGACCAATACCGCACACCCTCGGTCCCTACCGTAGACCGATACAAGTAGTCACCCACCCGCACACTGACCGCAGCCAGTGATGCTCGACTTCGTTGATCTGCTGGGAACCGTGTCTTAACGATCACTCCACTGCGGGATTGATTCGAGGATTGAATGACAAGTTCGAGGAAAGTGATATCGGTAAAAGCTGGGTTATGAAGAGATAAGGATTGGTAAAGTTCTTTACGAGCATTCTGGAAATGATGGGCATTATCGAAGGAAGTGTTCGTTTGCGTCGATACCACCGCAATAAGAGCAGTTTGAGCTTTGTATCAGTTTGCACTTGAGTAAAATCGCATTATTTGAAAGAGATTTAGTTCTTAGCCTGGCAATTAGAACATCAAGATTTTGGAAGCTGATTAGTGGACGGTGATCTTGAGATCCATCAAGGGAGGGGAAGGAGAGGAAGGTTCTTGTAATCCTTCCATACACTGAGTTCATTACTGAGCGCTCCTTAAGGAATTCCTGGCTAAGGTCTTGAGGTGATAAAAGATGTGAAATGAGATTTTGGTTTAGCACTTGTTTTACAAGCAGGTCTGCTTGTTCGTTTTATTTTATTCTATTGTAGGAAGGAGCCTAAATAAATAAGAGGGATATCACTGTTTGACTTGATTTGGCAATTTGGTCAAGAGAAGACGAAGAGAGATTCTCGGAGATTTTCGGGTGCTTTTGGTGAAAAACGCAAGGTTCGAGCGGCTGTCAAACAGATATAGTGGTCGTTGCTCGTAACACAATGTTTGAAGGCTGGGCTAAGAAAATGGTCAATCGTTCGGCAGTAAAGACCAATGTATACGGAGTAAGCTGATTTGAGATAGTGTAACCTTTGGAGGTATATATTCCCACGCAAATTTTGTCTGATTGTTTGGATCCAGCCATTGCCAGTTTGGATCCATCCGTTGAATAATATAATTTAAGAGATTCTGATTGCGAAATTCTTCAAATAGAACTCGAACCAGTAGCAGGCGTAAATTTTTCATTTGGAATGGCAAATTATCAAGATAAATTGAGACATTTGAAGGGATTTGAGTTGGAGGGTGGAATTCAATAACATTATCTTGAGAAATATTCCTGCTGAACATCGATCTATGCATGAATGCAAGTCCGGATTTGCGTCTAAGCTGAATAAGCTGTAGCTTGGGCCCCGACATGGCAAGGGCCCCCAGATCCCGTTTCCCCCCTTCTTTTTTAAAAGTTTTATTCGGAGCTGGGGCCCTCTGAAGCCCAAAATATTTTTTTTTCTTTNGTCTTATATCACTGTTTGACTTGATTTGGCAATTTGGTCAAGAGAAGACGAAGAGAGATTCTCGGAGATTTTCGGGTGCTTTTGGTGAAAACGCAAGGTTCGAGCGGCTGCCAATTAAACAGATATAGTGGTCGTTGCTTGTAACACAATGTTTGAAGGCTGGGCTAAGAAAATGGTCAATCGTTCGGCAGTAAAGACCAATGTATACGGAGTAAGATGATTTGAGATAGTGTACCCTTTGGAGGTATATATTCCCACGCAAATTTTGTCTGATTGTTTGGATCCATCCGTTGCCAGAATAGTATAATTTAAGAGATTCTGATTGCGAAATTCTTCAAATACAACTCAAACCAGTAGCAGGCGTAAATTTTTCATTTGGAATGGCAAATTATCAAGATAAATTGAGACATTTGAAGGGATTTGAGTTGGAGGGTGGAATTCAATAACATTATCTTGAGAAATATTCCTGCTGAACATCGATCTATGCATGAATGCAAGTCCGGATTTGCGTCTAAGCTGAATAAGCTGTAGCTTGGGCCCCGACATGGCAAGGGCCCCCAGATCCCGTTTCCCCCCCTTCTTTTTTTAAAGTTTTATTCGGAGCTGGGGCCCTCTGAAGCCCAAAATACATTTTTTTGTTTTTTACATTGACGAACGCTTTTCAAAATCTAATAGAAGTATTTTCAAATATAAAATAATTGTTACTCTTCACTTTTCTATCCAAAAGAACAATAAAACGCTTTATATATAGCAAGATTAAAAAGATTATAAAAAATTTCACTGATACTATTAAATAGTTAATGCGATTTTCTGTCATTAATACAATTAAGAAAACTTGGCGAGGAAATTTAAAATGAGAAATCTCGTGTTATATAAACATTAAGATAGAAAAGCGGCTTGCTGTTGGTAGAATGTGGGACGATTGCTAACACTTTTCAGGTGATCTGATTCCTATCGATCTGAAACAGTATGGGATTTCAGTCACTCCCGGAACCGAACCCCAGTTCTTTGCTGTGACAGCTCAGTGCCTTAGCCACTGAGCCATCACAATACTTTTCTGTTCTAAGACTTTGACGTAGGTAAAAATTTTAGTTTCTTCGACCGGCCTTATTGCGCAGTATTTTTTCAGGTGTTTTTTTCCTCCTTTTCTTATTCAGTTTTGCTCTTACGTTTAAAAATTAATGATTATTTCTACACTCAAATTCTGATATATTGTTTTCGACATGTTTGATGTCTAATACCATGATGACCACTTGATCGAAAAAATTCAACGCACGCAATGAAATAATATATGTATTATATAGCTTTTATTTTAATTAAATGTAAAATAAAAGATACAATTGAAATGTATGTTACTTTAAAAATATTTGTTGTGCTACTTAAATTAGCGTCATTTAAAATTTTTCGTTGCTATGGAGACCATTGGTTTTAAATTTTTACCAAGCAAATTAATTCCAGCAACATCCCGTTGTGGGTCATAAGGAGTTAAAAAGGTTGAAGTTTAACAATCTTGAGACTAAAGCCGAAATTTTGGTAAAAACGTGCACCAATGACTGCCTTCACTTCACCATCAAACTCATACCCATCGTTTTAAAGTTGGGTGGATTTCAAAACGCTGCCGGAGATCGAACCCAGAATTTCATAATGACAGCTTAGTGCTTTAACCACTCTACCATTGATTTTCAAATTTTTTACTGAAGTTGATATTTAAATTTTTTCTTAAAACCACTAAATAAGTAAATGAATAAGTGAGTTAGTTTGTTTTGCAACACTGAATAAAAATAACGATAGATAAAGTAAACTAATAAATAAAGTAAACTTATAAAAAAATAAATTAATAACTAAAATCAATTAATAAATAAAATTATTTAAGATCAGTATAGTGCAGTGACGAAGTCGAACCGATATTTGCCCTAAGAAGATTACCTAGGACCTTGAGAAGGAACTAAGAGTTCCTTGAGAAGGCTCAAATTTAAAGAGTCAATTTTCTATCAAATGATTTGATTTTTAAATAATCTCCGCTCTGTTTTTATATGTTGTACTTAAAGTAAAGCTAAAATAATTTTTCTATGTCAATTGTATCCTTTGAATAAATAAAAATGTACGGAAGAAAGTTTTTTTAAACTTAATTCTTAAATCGATCATTATTAATATATTTTTTTTCTTACATTAGATTTAGAATAACTAACTCTTAAAAAATATTTTCAACAATACTTAGCATTGTAACTTTTACAACAATGAAGTAATAGAGAGTTACATAAAAATTTTACGCTAGATATTATTTAAACAATGGTTCATTTCAAAATATTGTTACAAAAGGTGCATCTGTTAGTTCAATTAAAAAAATTTTTTTTACTCATTCTTGTTTGAGATTTCTCAAATGCTGGTAGTCTTTTGTGAAATTAAAAAGTGAGAATTATGGATAAAAGCGATTTATATCGTTTTGCTCTTTTGAATCATTGGAGAAAGGAAAGGGAAAAGTATCCCCGACCTAATCGTAAGTGTAAAAACATACTTCTTAATATTTTTGTAGTTGTAACTAAACTGCTGTTTGTAGAAAATGCAACACCATGAAGGAATCATCAGAATCAAATGAAATCCGCAGCAAATGTCAATTATAGGATATTATGCAAATTAATAAAGTTTCAGAGCCATCGCGCGTGCGTGGCGCGCGCAGCGCCCTCTGAATTGATGCTGAAAGCGTATAAATAAAGTGCTGTAGCGGGACGTTGAAAATAGTCTATGATTATTTGTTAGTGGCAAACGTTTAGTGAGACCTGAGTATGCCTCCACGACGGAAGAATAAGAAATTCAAGCAACTTACGGAGTTTGAACGAGGGAGGATAATCGGCCTTCGAGAAGGAGGATTTTCCTATCGCGCAATAGCAGCTCGTATGCAGCGGAACAGTTCCACAGTGATGCGAGTTTGGAAGCAGTGGACCGACGAGCACCGAACAACTCGAAAAACAGGCACTGGACGACAGAAGGTGACGTCAGAGCGCGATGATCGACACCTGCTCCGCATGGCGGTGAATGATCGCACAGCTTCCTCCAGGCAGCTGGCAGCACATTGGTCTACTGCTACAGGTGTACAATTGTCGGCTTCGTCAATTCGTCGTCGTCTGCTG